CCACCTCCTCCACCACCAGCGCCTCCATCACCATTACCGTTTCCGTTGCCGTTTCCGTCACCCCCTCCCGATTCGTTGCCATCTGGGATCACCCTGTCGCCACAGGTAACTGCATCTGGCCAATCGCACTGTTCTGAATGGGGATTGTAGAGGAGATTGCCTGGACAACTCATGGCAACTGGTGCTCCGTTGTAACATTTGTAAAACTGATTGCAATTTTCGTGAGCAATTAATACTCCGTTCGACCCTGGCCCACTGCAGATAGAGGGTGCTTCTCCTGGATTGCAATTGCAAGTACCGTCGTTCCCACCTCCTCCACCTCCAGCACCATCTCCACTTCCGCTTTCGTTACAACCACCTTCGTTTTTGTCATCCCCATCATCTTTGTCTTCACTCTCTGGGATTGGTCTATCGCCACAATTTACATTTTGGGGCCAATCACATTGTTCTCTGTACGGGTTGTACAGCAAACCGAGAGGGCAATTCTGAGCAACTGGTACACCATTAAAACATTTGTAAAACTGATTGCAATTTTCATGCGCTACCAGTAGTCCATTAGAGTCTTTAGCAGCGCATATGTTTGATGCCTCACTTGGATTGCATTTGCAATTACTGTTGTTGTTTTCGCCACCTCCACCGTTTTCGCCATTGTTGTTATCTTCGTCGTCTGGTATAACTCTATGGCCACAAACAACATTTTTAGGCCAATCGCACTGGTCAGTATTTATATTGAAAAGTAAATCATTTGGGCAGGTGTGCTCCACTAATTCTCCTTTGACACATTGATAGAATTTGTTACAATTATTATGCTCAAGTAACTTTTCTTCCGTTTCGTCCAAGGGACATCCATTTTTATTTATTTTCACTACATTCCCTTGGACAAGTGTTATCGCGCAGATCAAAGTGATTCCTGCGCCTGAAAAAAAAAACCAAACATTTATAAAAAACGAGTTCGTTTGAAATAAAAAAATGAAGTGCAAATAAACATTTGAAATTAATAAATCAGTTCCATAAAGAAAACTTTGTTTAAAAAAATCTTACAATAAAAAGCTTAATAATAATTTAAGAAAAATGCAGTGGTAATTTAAAAGTAAATTTTAATAACTAAACAATTATCCAAAAAACAAAAAATAATATTGTACAAGTTTAATACATTATATTATAAGTTTCCAAAATTGAGGAAAATGGAATCATGATTTAGATATTGCGAATAGGAAATTTCCTGTTTCCAGTTTATTATTAATTTACCTTTCATTATAATCCTCGCACTAGTTAAAAATTTTCTTCTTATCCCCGTTACGCACAGAAACTTATGATGTATTGTTTAAAACTGCAGATATTTTGAATATCCCGACAATTATATACATTAGTCGAAGTTTATCGGAGTATTACTTAGAACGAATTATTTGAAGTGCATACAGTTAGTGATATTAGATAATCATTACATTAATCGCTACTAAAATCACTGATTTATATAGATAATTTATACTTAAGATAATTCTATTACTTTATTACAACAAAATTAAATCACACTGTATAGTACTATTAATTTAAAAAAAAAATTAAAAATATTATATATGTTATTTTCACAACAACTAAATGATTAATGATCCACATATCCTCGTCTAATTTTTAGAGAGGATTAACAGATTAAAAAGTGATAACGATATCGTTCTATGATATTTTCAATGGAAAAGTATTTCAAGAATCGCTAATTTAAACATTTTATTAAATAAATGGTAGGTTATACGTCACATTGTATAAAAACACAGCGAAGTTAAATAAGATTAAAAAGACAAAAAGTAAACCGCATAGGAACAAAATCGTTACTTATTTTAATGAGATATTTAGTAAAATCGTATCTTTGTAGCAAACTCTCTAAATACAACCTTAGGTTCATCGTATTCTTGTAATTTTGCCTACTAAAATGCAGGTAGTTAGTTAATAGGAATTTTTAAGAATAGAGCGTTGGTGGCTCAATGGTTAAGCAATTTAATTCTAATCTGCAGATCCTGGCTTCCAATTCCGTCATGTATTAAAGTGTTTTTAGATTTTCGATTTACATATGTACATTTATTCTTACGTTGAAGGAAAACATCGTCAGGCAACTTACACATGAAATTAAAAGATATGTGGGTATTTCTATCGTTAATTTGAATACTAGACAAAAGTCTATTTTTTGGAAAACAGGCATGTTTTAAAATCTCTCAAGACGAATACAAAGATTGTTTGGGCAAGTTCGTTTTAATTTTATTTTTTTCTTCTTTATTTTACAGATAAAACTTTATATCGTATTTTACATTTTGCTATGACAAATTTATTTTTTAACAAAATATAATAATAATTTATTTAACTATTGTATTAATAGTGTAAAAACAAAAAAAAAAATAGCAGTTTGTTTTTAGAATAGATGCCATATATATGGTTTAAAAATAATTTAATAATTATTAATTAAATCACCCTGTATAATTTGTCGGCGTTAGCTCAAATATATCTGTCGGTAGATTAAAAACAATTCAATAAAAGATTCTAAAGATATAATTTGATCGATAAAATTATGAACCGAAAATATTATCGTTCGTCGAAAGTGTTTCTGATGTATTAATTATTATAATATTTACTAAAAAGTTTAAACTGACGTTAAGTGAGACATAAAAAATAAAAATAAAATGTAGCTTAAAACGGGTTTTTATCTTAAAAAATTGTATTGACAATTTTAGAACAGGAGGTTCCATTTTTACAACTATATAACCTTATCTGTATTTTATTGTCTTCCAAATGTTTCGGTACATTTTTTTCTGCAATCAGAACTTAAATAACAATATAATAACTTCGTTTGAAGGTATCTTAGGAACGGCTGCATGGGTCTCGCTAAAATTTAGCATAGATGTATTACTTAATCTGGACGAACACATAGGCTACTTATTATGTGTTATATATTCGACACAGACGGAGTCACGGGCGACAAATAGTATATACAAAAATTAAAAATTATGGTATTCCCAATACGAGCAATAATAATTGGTTAACAACTATCGAGTATAAAATTCGTGATAAAAAATGACAAGAGTACGCAATAAACAAATATAGATTACTAGCAATTGCGATCTCTTATCTGATGATGTATCCATTAAGGTAAATGATAATTTATTCGAGCGACGCAAAAACTTTTATTTTGTAAACAGCGTACGTACCACTGAATGTATGTTCGTAGCTAAAAAACACCTTTTTTTCCAGAGACGAATGCTTTATGTATACTCCGCGCCCCGGGGACGCGGTAGTTATGTGGGATTCTCCTCCTTAACGGAGACATACCCACTAAACCTCTCTGAGCTAAAAAGCACCTAAGTTTCCTCATTCAGTACCACTAAATCGCCCTGCGACAACTTTTTTAGCCGACTTCAAAAAGAAGAGGGTATATTGTGAAAACCGCAGTGGTACTGAATGAAAGCTTTATTTGGGATATGTCTGGAATATTCCCTTCTCTAGTTATAATAGCGATTGATTGTTACGTTTTTCACTTCCGATTCTTTTCTAATAAAGAATGGAAGAAGAGAAGAATAAATGAGCTAAAGAAATATATTTTTTTCTGTATATTCCGCCATTTGTTTAAGGTTAATAAGTTTGTTGGAGAAATCTATGTTAATTTGTATATTTACATACTAGCTGTGGCCGCATATTTGCGTGGAATACTGTCTTTTCGTTGGAATATTAATTATTTAGGCTAATTTTACTCAAACTTATAAATCATTGCAGCAAACTATATTAAACTTACAAAACATTCACATAAACACTCCCAATCGTTGTTTTACAACGTCGAAGAAGATTTTTTACATTTTTCTTCTTAATATAAGTATAATTTATAATATTTTGCAAAGACTAACATTGTTAGAAATGAATTACAATGAAAAGTAGGTTTATATGTCGGTAATTTTAAGTATTGTAGTGAAATGAGTTAAACTAGAATTTGTCTTCATATTTCATATTCTACTGTTTAAAAGATCACACAATGTTTGTTTATCAACGACATGAGGTAGGCCTGATAACTATTTCTATCGACAAAATCTTATTAGTAATTAGATTACTCATTAAAATTACTCAACGTTATGAAAAAAAAATCATCACCAATGCTGTCTTAAAATGTATCCGTTTATTATTTTTTATAGGTTTTGTTTCTTTTGTTACTAGTTAAAAAAATAAGTACCATTGCATACTAAAAAAAGAACGTCATTAAAAATGTTGTCACTGTCCAAAGAGCTGTATAAACGTATCGATTTTTTTTTTCGGAAACCAGGAGAAGTTCTATTACCAAGTGTGAGACTTGACAACAGTTAAAAATAAGTTTACCAATACTGAAATCCGTAATCTTAAACCTTACTAATATTATAAATGCGAATGTTTGATGGATGGTTGGATGGCTTTTTTATAACAGAAGGGGGCAAACGAGCAGCGGGAACACCGAGATATTGTTTGTTTGAAGGTATCTCCAGAACGCTGCATGGATCTCGATGAAATTTGGCATAGATGTAGTCTGGAAGAAAGGCTACTAATTATTATTTTTTAATTCCGCTTAACAGAGTCGCGGGCTACAAGTATTTTTTTTAAATATCTTTCCTTTGTTATTATTTTTTTCTTAATCAGCTAATTCACGAAGCATCGCAGTTCCTTGTTTTGTATAAAATTATCAATTTCAGATAAGGATTCATATTGATAATACAAAAAAAAACATGTTTAAGAATATTTCCTAAAAAACAATTGATATCCGTGAATTATTCATTTTTATTTTAGCCCGAATTTGAATAATTTAATTAGAAATTTTATATTATCTCTGTTTTTGTTAAATAGAATGAGAGGGATAACAATATTTTTGTACACGTCTTTGATCAGTTTCAATCGTGGCCGCATTCGTCATGGCCTTTTCAAGAGGGAGACATAAACTAATTAAATACCAGTAAAATCCCCGGAATAATAGTACAAAGTAGTATAAATAGTACATTATTTATCTAAGTAGAGATAACGCTATCGCAAAATATGATAGAACTATTACGCATCAATTTATTGATAACATTTTGATCTAAAACATATTGTGATGGAAATTACTAAACACTGAAATATCGAAATAAATCCTTGGGATATGAAGAAACATATAATTATGTACTTGTGTTAAGCGCAGAAAAAATCATTCTGCCAAAGACGTGGCATACTGGCAAGAACCTTTGCCTTTTAGATCAAGAAAAAGATAGGTGATAAGAGAGAAAAATCGCGCGGGAAGCCTGAACAACGAGATGTAGTCATGAACAGAGTTAGTGAGAAGTATTATTGTAAATAACGTACATATAACATTTTAGTGTAAGGATTTTTACAACGTAATAAACGCATTTTGGCTGCGATGAGCGTCGATTATCCCTTTGTTGATGTGCAGGCTTTTACATTGTTAATTTTCCACAAGCCACCGGAAATAAATATATCCAAGAAAAATGCATTTTGTCAACTTTATCTTATAATGTAGATAAAGCAAATCCTTGTTTGATTTTTAACTTAATGGCGATTGCATCGATTTGTTCAAATTCAAAAGAAATTCTTATCTTGCGACAAATATCGTGACTAATACTTTTTTTTATAAATATCTATTAATAACTTTCCTGCTTTCCTTATACACTTACACACATAAGCTACAAATAAAACACATGAAATAACATCTATGAAATTAATTACTAAAAAGAACACCTGCTTCATTTTTCTGTGTAATTTATAAGCAAACGACTCGACAGCTAAATGATTTACAAATAAATAACAAAACTACTTAGTTACATATCATTAAATCCATTTTCAATTTTTACATTTCGTTACCAACAATCCTTTTTTTTATTTACAACTCGTTTCTTTTAACTTTTTCCGATTTTTTTGTCTTTTAGATATATGTAACCTTAGTGACCAGTACGATCAATTTGCATACAAATATTTCCACCACTTCAATGTTGGTCCACATTATATGTAATTTTAAAATTAAAGCTCTTATTACAGTTCTACTCTTATTCTCTTTCTTCACGACTTTTTAACGCCTGTTGTAAAAAGACCAAAGATTAAAACATATATCAAAAAACGTCTGTGAAAAATTGCTCGTAAATTAATTAAAGGCACTTGGTTACATTTTCGCTGTCGCAGTAAATATTATGTCGACGAAATATTTAATCATTTTACAATCGCAAAGTAGGATTGTTCTATAAACCCCGTCAATATTTATAATACATAAATGTAAAAATGCCACGATTTTTACAAAATTCATTTAGTTAGGATTACGTAGCAATCAATAAGTGAAAATGTCAACTCAAAAACTTATGCTACGTTTGAGTCATAATGATAATTTAACAATTGTCATCATGAATATTTAACTCACCCTACCTTTTTACATTTGATTATATCAGCCAAAAACAGCAATAACAATCAGAAAACGAACCTGTCGTTTTCTAATATCAAAGTTAAAATAGTGTAAGTATAATTTATATACTCTGTTACTCGGTCCACCAATTTTTGTCAGTAAATTATATTGTTAAATATGTATAAACATAATTGTAGATCGTGTAATTTTCTACAAAAATTGTTTTTTGTTCCAACATTCGGCATTTTTATATCGCCGAGATTCAACAATATTTAAACCGAACTATTTAAGGTTATGTTTTACGTCACACTATTTTTTTTTTTAGAAACTTAACCATTCCAATTAATTTTGCCCAAATTCAAAACCAATAATTTTCATCTACATAAGTATTGACGATGTTACCATATTGTTAAAATTTGTGTTTGGGTTAAAAATATTCTACATATAATTAAACAAAAGGTTTCTTTATATTTTAATAGGAACAATCAGAAAATCAAATCCGGCATTGAAGATTATGCGGATTGAAATGATAATTGGGTCCATAGAATAATAAACAAATCTGTAAAGACCAATTAAAATGATTAGGAAATGAATAAAATGAAAATTAACATTGATAAATGTTAATTGTGATAAGAAATCAATAATTAGTAGGCGTAATGATGACAATAGCTTATATTATTAAGGGAATTATATTCCGCGGACGAGAGCGAAAGCGTGCCCGTGGTCCCGTCCCGATGCGTTGGAGGAACAGAGAGGTTTAGTGGGTATGCCTCCGCTATGGAGGAGAATCCCACATAACTACCGCGTCCCCCCCGGGGCGTGGAGTACACTTAAGCATTCCTCTCTGGAAAAAAAGGGGAATTTTAATATATTAAATTGAGAACAGACATTTTTGTTTTATTCTAATTTTTAAGTCAATTCCCTTGCTACTGCTAATTAATATCTAAGTTTTAAGGTAATATATTGATTTGAATTTTATCGTAGTATAATCAAAGGAAATTCAAATTCTTTCATTTCATACCTATGATAGGGTTGTACAAAAAAGTCGAACCGCCGTTTTGCAGCTTCTGAAAACTTCCATTTATTCCTAGTGTCTTTGAACATATTCTACTAGTCAAGCCAATCAAACATTCATAACCTCGTTGAAGAGTTTTGCAAATATATATCGTCTACTATTTTGTAACGGAGAGAGAAAATAAGAATTAAATAAAATCTTAAAATTTGCATTATTATTGGTACATATATTATTACCCAAATGCGTTAGAAACAACGTATTTTGTAATATTTCTAAGTCATACTAATTATACGATGACAGGTTAGGTGAAAGCACTTTTGGCGGGCTTTTGACGTAAGTCTTAACGCCCCCCGATAGCATAATAAATATTGATTAAGAAATAAAAAAGTAGTTCGCCATTTTTAGAAAGTGTAATTTGTAAATACCTTCAATTTAGATCAAGTTATTAATTGATTATTAACTATTTCATTTCATAAGAATTAATGATGTTATTTTTTCCTTGTAATATGTATTAGTTTATAACTGAAATAAAAATGATATCTTTTTTTTTAAAACATTGTAAAACAAGGCCTTATCTTGTCTATAAAATGATTGAACAAATAAATGCGTAAGTGATAATTTTAATCAGTTTCAAAGGAATTTAATCTTTGATTTTATTTTAATTTGGTATTGAATTTGCATTCAATGACAAATAAAATATCATTAAATTAAATACCATGGTATTGGACTTGGGTCTAATATTAATAAATGTTTTTGCGACTTTTCGAGTTTCTGAGAAATCTAAGAAATTATTATTATTATTATTATTTTAGCTTTTTCTTCATTAAAATAATTAACGCTCTCTAGACAATAATAAGATGGAGTAAAATTAATCATATTATAATAATACCGTATATATCAGATCATCCGTTATAAATTAAAATCAGTTTAAACATTCTACGTTCGTTCCTTAACCTATATGACTGGCATATGGTATAACTTTTGGTAAGGTGATCTGAGGATGCCAAAGAGTAAATTACTCTAATAATCTAAACAAAACAAAAGGTTTGTTGTTGTTCGGAAACTTTATGCTCTATGCTTTAACATTACTTTGTTTTTTTTTTAATTCTTTACTTTACGTGGCATTTAATTTTAACTTGATATATTACTTGACCATATTTTCAGAGTAAACTTTTTTAATTATGTTCGTTTATGAAGCACAAGCAATGAAACATAAGAACATTTATATTGGTGTTAAAGAAAGTAATGAAATGTAAATGTGAAGTAAAATTCAGTTGTAATTAAATATTTTATTTTTTATATTACATATTTAATATTTTATGCAAATAACTTAATCCTATCTTAAACTAAAAAAATAGACGGAAGCTCAGAGTCTATATAAAGTTTTGAAGATAATCACATTTTTATTGTTTGTTTTATTTTATACTATTTTATTAATAGTTACATGTAAAAAAAACATCTAAAAATTTCTTTGGAAATAAGAGAAAAATTAAATATTAGGTAAAGTATTATAAAACTATTCTTAATCAATACTTTTTAAAGAAGTCCTTTTAGCACTTTATTGGTAAAATTATTTTTAACAATTATTTTTTTCAAACAGTAAGAATTACACTAACCTAAATCATTCTTTCACCACAGACAACGTCTTCTGGGAAGCCGCATCTTTCTGCATAAGGATCGTATAATAGATTGGAAGGGCAATGCATTTCAATAGGGACGTTGTGGGAACACAGATAGAATTTACGACAATTTTCATGCGCAATTAAAATTCCATCGGAATCTTCTGACCTACAAATAGAAGGTGCTTCACGAGGAGAACAATGGCAACCATCACCGCTGCCGCTATTTTCTGGTATTATTCTGTCTCCACAGTTTACTTCGTTAGAATACCAACATTGTTCTCTGTAGGGATCGTAAAACAGATTTCCTGGACAAGACAACGCTACAGGTACACCGTGAGCGCATTTGTAAAATTGGTTACAGTTTTCGTGTGCTACTAATATGCCATCAGAATCCGTCGCCGCACAAATTGACGGTGCTTCAGCTGGATTGCAGTTACAGGTGCCATTACCTCCGCCGCCTCCACCACCGCCGCCGCCTCCACCGCCGCCATCGCCTCCACCGCCACCGTCACCACCACCGCCGCCACCTCCACCGCCGCCATCGCCTCCACCGCCACCATCTCCACCACCGCCGCCTCCTCCACCACCGCCGCCACCGCCGCCGCCACCATCGCCATTTCCGTTGTCTTCAGGGATAACTCTATCTCCACATTCGACCTCTTCTGGATACCAACATTGTTCTCTGTAGGGATCGTATAGGAGATTGCCAGGGCAACGCATCGCTACTGGGACACCGTGGGCGCATTTGTAGAATTGGTTGCAGTTTTCGTGGGCTACTAAGATACCGTCGGAGTCTGGAGCAGCACAAATGGAAGGAGCTTCACCAGGGTTGCAGTTACAGGTGCCGTCACCGCCACCGCCACCTCCTCCGCCGCCACCTCCACCGCCGCCACCGCCGCCATCGCCTCCACCGCCACCGTCTCCACCACCGCCGCCTCCTCCACCACCGCCGCCGCCGCCGCCATCGCCATTTCCGTTGTCTTCAGGGATAACTCTATCTCCACATTCGACCTCTTCTGGATACCAACATTGTTTTCTGTAGGGATCGTATAAAAGATCTGCAGGGCATGACATTGCAACGGGTTTGCCGTGAGCACAAATGTAGAATTTATTACAGTTTTCATGGGCTATTAACATGCTATCTGTATCTGGTGCTGCACAAATCGATGCTGCTTCTCCGGGGTTACAGTTACAGGTTCCCTCTTCTCCATTGTTAGCTCCGTCATTTTCAACTTGTGCGTCATTGCCATCGTTAGAGTTACAGTCTGGTTTAATTCTGTCACCGCACCTTACATTTTCAGGCCAATCACATCTCTCCTTGTTAGGGTCGTACAATAAATTTGACGAACACTTTAATGGGACAGGAATTCCATTTAAACATTTATAAAATTGATTGCAGTTCTCATGAGCGACTAAAATGCCGTCAGAACCATCGGCAGCGCAAATGTTTGGGGCTTCACTGGGATTGCAATTTCCACCGTTAGCATCACCATCCGTATCGACATCTTGATTGCTGTCATCCTTATCTGGTATTACTCTGTCACCGCAAATTACATTTTGTGGCCAATCGCATTTATTTTTTTCAATGTTGAAAAGCAGATCTTTCGGACATGTATGTTCTACTAACTCTCCTATTGTGCACTGATAGAACTTGTTACAATCTTCATGCTCAAATAAGCGTTCTATGGTGTAATCCAATGGACAACCATATTTGTTTATGTCAACTACATATCCTTTTACAAGTGTTAATGCGCAGATCAATATGATCCCGGCGCCTAAAAGGGACAATAAAATCACAATCAAACTTTGATTTAGTTAAATGATTTTTAAAAAAAAATTATTTTGGAAAAAAAAATATTTCCACGTTTAAAATTCATAAGGTAATCTTGAATAATAAAATGTCCAATCATATTCGAAAAAATAATAATATACTTTTAATTTTTATAACCACAATTTTTTTGGCAATTATTAAAATAAGTACAGTAATCGAAACAAGAAAAATATTGAATAAATAATTATTTTAATAAATAAAATGTAATTATAAGTGTTTTAAATCCAAAATATTAAATAAACATTAAATATTACTTGAAAATTTATTACAGAAACTTCATTAAAGTTATTAAAGTTTTAAAATAAAATAATTAAAAGTATACAAATTGAATAAATCCTCTTGATTTGTAATTAAAAATAAATTTTCTTCACGTAAATTAAATAAGTCTATTAATTTGAATAACAATAACTTATTTTACCTTTCATTATACGCCTTACACTAAATGTAGCGAATGTTCCAATCCGCACAGAAACTTTGAACATCAATTCCAATACTGCGCACAAATTACAAGACTACTGTTTTATAAGTACACGAAATCACTTTATCAAAATGAATCTCCAAGTACGATTGTATATGCATTTAATTGGCCGAAAATTTGATAAACACATGATTAACCTATGGACAAAAAAAACTTTATCTTTGATCTTGTCTTTACGATTATTTTTGCAACGGATGCAATATCAGAAATATTCACCGGCAATTCATGTACTCGTGTACAATCATTTATAATTATTTATAGATTCCTCTCAAATTTTAGAAACAGCTTTTTGGTATCGGGGTAAAAATTAGAATAGACACCATGCCTTCTGGAGGTTTTGACTCACCTAAATACGCAAATAAAGAGAGTTCTGGATGTTTGAGGAACGGACTAAAATTATTGTTGAATCTGCGAATTGCAAATTAACAAATTCACACAGAAAGTGTTATATTTCTGCAGTTTGTAAATGTTTTCTTTGCACTATTATTAGTATCCGCGATTCTTGTTGGATGCACATAATGGCAGCCGATAAGGTGTAAACCGTAGACTTATGATGCTACCAAAACCGGAGCATAAAATGACAAAAATGGTCTCTTGATTAGAAGTTTAACTTTTATGAAACACTCTATTCTTAGCTTATGTATGTCTGAGTGTTAACTTTACAAAGAGTCGAAATATTACTTTTACTTATATCCGTATTTTAATTACTCATTAACAGCATTAACTATTATATATTAAATAGGAAAGGGTGGTGATTCTTGTAGGAATTTCTACATGACATTTTACAACTTTTTGCAACCAAAGTTGCGTAGTTGTGGTTGCATTTCGTGTTTCGTCGAGAATACAATAATTTGTTTTTAACATTTTTAGGGAAGCAAGATAAAAATTGTTGAAGAAAGAAATTAGCATTGCTAAATCAACTTACCTTTTTACCCGCAAATTAGTCGCCTTGCTAAAGTTTGACTTTAATTGAATAAATTTGAGAGAGAAGAATAATAACTTACATTCTGGAAGTGACTACAACTGGATAAGCTTTTAAATGCAACAAACCTAAGAGAGATCTTGATTTCACTAATTCACTATACTGCCTCGTTTTCACTTTGGATAATTTAAATATTAGTAGCATATGTTCCTACAGACTATTCTGCACCTATGCCAAATTTCAACGAGACAGTTCAGCCGTTCTGAACATATCTTCAAACAAAAATCCATCCATCCATTTATCCGTCCATACATCCTAACATTCGCACGTATAATATTAAGTAAGATTAACACTTACGATTCTAAAATTAAACTATGTTACATTAGTAACATTGGTACTTGTTCTGTTCCCCGCGCAAATCTGATCTCTTTTTTTAGCTGTTTTAATCATTTAAAATAAATACTTCTAATGTTTTAGGTGGCCAGTACGATCTCGTTGGGTGCCTACAGACTTATTGGGTACCAAAAAGGTTTGAAACGTAAAACTTAACGACAAAGTATTTCTTTAAAAATCATCAGATTTTTGTTGACATATTTGGCGCAATTTCACAATCAATTAATAATACGAAAAAAATATGACGTAGAGTTTCTTAGAATTTTTTAATTCCAAGATAAGATTTTTATCGGATCAATTTCAAGCACCTATCAAAATCACGTCTTGTTGACGACGGACACTTTTTTTTATATACCGACGTATTATAGTTCGTTTTCCAAACTTTTAGTCCAGGTACAGCACTAATGTTAATTTATAGAATTATCAATGGAGTTTCTGTTTTCTTGTGTCTTCTATACATTGACGCCAAAAAAACAAAGTAGTTGCATGAGATATAAGTAAGGACATGGAAGAAAGAATATTCCCATTTCCTATCCATCCACGTTTACGTTAATCGACCATCCACGTTAAATCCAGCTTCCCTTCCCAAATTTTTCAAAGCAGATATTAAGAAGACTAAAATTGGACTTTAATAGAGCAATACAGCAAATTTTTAAGAGCCGTGCAGTAGACAAGGCTTTTGAAATATGTGCAGTTATCATGCGATAAGCATTGACAATAAGCTTTTTCTAATTGCCAATTTAAAATCAAGGCAACCTTATTGATAGCAAACAATTTTAAAGAAAACAAAGTATAATTTTATAAACTTTATCTTTGTCTTTTATCTTTGACGTTTTAACGTATTGCACGATAAGTGTCACCGGGCCTGCAGATTATAAAATTTTATCGCTAATTTAAACGATGATGGTTCTAAAATAATCTTGTACCTTATAAAGTGAATTCGTTTTATTACTTTTAAAATATTTATTTATATTTTATAAATCCTTCTAAACAATACATGCACTTTTACATACTTTTACTATTCCTTTCAACAATTTTTAATGTAAATGAGTAACCATTTTCTAAAAAATCGTATTCGTTTAAAGAGTCTTAATTGTTCATTATGCTAATTAAATGAGAGAGAAAACCTTTTTTAACATAATATCCTAATTTTGATTTCCTATCGAACTTTAAATTAAGAACAAAATATTCAACAATCCGTACTTCCATCCATCTATTTTTGCTCCTTTTCTTCTTGGTAGCCATTGCTGATAAAAATATACCAAAAGCAGTTTTTAATAATATGTATAATTAACATAATGTTGATATACTCATACATTTTGAATCTATATCAAATTATGTCTATTAATAGCATAAGATGTAAGATATAAATTAATCCAACTGATATAGATTTGGTAGGCAGTACCCTATTCATAACCTCAAAATATGTCGAATAATCGCTTCGCTGAGAATATGAGGTGAAAATATTTTACAAGTACAATGGACCATTCTATCATTTTATTAGTATAAAACAGATAGCATATTGATTTCGAAGTATTGATATAATTCTCATTTATAGCCAGCAAGATAAGTACTTCGAATAGCACGGAATTGGGGAAATAACCTTTTATTACATTTATAACCCGGGTCTTTATTGCTTTTCAAATTTCAGATTAATTCAAATGCCCAAATTCAAATAAATTTCGTACACGTTACTACTGATAGGAAGAAAATCCGACACAGTGCCGGTGTACTACCGCAGCAGTAGCTTTGCTAAATGTCGACGTTTATGTCCCCTCACTAATAATTCTGACATTTGACTTGGTAACGAAAGTGCGCCATTCACGCAAAATAATTGTCACTAATTTTGTCTAAAACTACATAATTAATAGCAGCAACACAAAGAAGGTAGAAGGCAGACGTCAAGTGGAATTTATCCGCGTTTTGTCTGACAGTTTTAATAGGAACTTTTTACAGATAGATCTTTAATAATGTGTGGATCAACGACACTTATCTCTATAAATGGATAGGCGATTGCTTGAAAATGACAGCTTTGCTTCGTTCCGATTAAAACGCGCCTGTTGATGTTACGTGAATGTTAATTCCATCCATATTATTAGTTACAATCAAGCTACCATCAGTAGCAAAATGGCAAAAATCAAATAAGCTCATAATATTAGGTTTCATAGCCAGTCCATATAGAGGTCAGAGATCAACGAATGTTTCTGACAATGACATCGTATCGTCATCGACAAAACTATTATTTGTACAGCGCCTATCGGGCATAAAGTACACAAAAATCGTATTAATCTTACTATTATTATAAATGCGAATGTTTGGATGAATGGATAGATGGATGGATGGATGAATGTTTGTTTGAAGGTATCTCCAGAACGGCTGCATAGATCTGGCTGTAATTTGGCATAGATGTAGAACATGGTCTGAAAGAACACAAAGGCTACTAATTAAGGTTTTTTTCTACCCCGCGCGAACAGAGTTGCGGGCGACTGCTAGTTTTGACATAATGATGATATGGAGGCACACAAATATTCGTGCTAGGTCCAATGTATTCTCTTTAAATGATGACCGTTATTCCTTGCGCGTTTCTGACTCATTATCAATTCACGTAGTTATCAGCATCTACTTTTGTTGCGGAAATTTACTTGATAAACACATGACATTTCGAACATTATAAATTAATAATCACCTTATAATATCTAACAGTGCGAGAGTCGATAAACATTGTCATGGTAATTACACCTAAAACAAGCAAAACAAGGCCCTGTTTTGAATCCTATTCTCTACATTACCAAGTATAAATTCATCATTCATAAGATAAATAGTACGTGTGGAACTAGCGTATTTATTAAAAAAAAAAAAAAACAAAGAATACAAATCAGATGACATCCTCACTTCGAACCGGTCAATTCATTTAAGTTATAGGCAGTAACATTGGAAAAGTCACATAAATCAACCTAAATGCAAACATTCTTTATTCTTTACCTACTATTTTACCATTTTCAGCAACAATTATACGTATTTATTCTAGTATATCAAAGAGGTTCAAATACAATACGAGCTAGATAGTTATAGAGCGGACAGTCTAGTTGTTTTACATTAAATGTCTCCTCATTCATATGATGTCCACTAATGGGCATAGGCCTCTCACATAGCTCGCCACGGTTATTGGACCTGTGCTACCCGCATCTAGGATACGCCGGCAACCTTGACCAGATCATCGATGAATTTTGCAAAAGGCCAGCCCATGCTGCCTTTGAACTATTCGTGGCCGCCATTCCAGGCCTTTTAACCTAATTGGACTCTAGAAAGAGTGAGAGAGAGAGAAATTAAAATCGTTATCTGCCACTAAGTAGTACTAAAATCAAGTAACGTCTCGGCTTATTAAAGCCGACCACCATATCGGCGGTTAAAGTTTGGTTGGTAATGTATGTATTATATTCTATGTTCAATGTCTATCATCATCATCATCATCAGCTCACTATACGTCCCCACAGAGGGGCTCGGAGCCTACTCTAAGTTGAGGGTGATTAGGCCATAGTCAACCACGCTGGCCCAGTGCGGGTTGGTTGACTTCACCTATACCCTGACTGTTCAATCTCTATATTGTATTTTTTTTTTATATCATAAGGTAGCAAACGAGCGAGCGGCCACCTGAAATCGCTGAAGTAGCGAAGTGACCGTTGTCCATAGACATACGCAATTGCATATGCGTTGCCTACCTTTAATCGA